AGTCATTTATATAAATCAAGAAAAGCACTGGTCATATAATTGAACCTTGTGATACACCCACCTGTACAGGGTAGTGCACAGATTAGGTAGTTTTTATAGTAGATTATGGATGATGGATCCCTCATGTGAAGTTATCTATATAACATAACATAACATAAAACACACCACAGAAATGAGACAACCCCCAAATCCAAAAGCCAAAGGCTTGTGCGGAAGGGGGCTACACTTGAAAAAACGCGGACAAACACCCATTATCCATCGACATTGCCAGTGCCGACACCGGGGATCGAACCCGGACCAGAGTAGGAAGCCTAGCCGAGAAATGCTTGCCACCGCACTCTCGACCGACTGCGCTACCGTGGTGATACCGTGATATGGATGTATATTTCATAATAATGAGCATGAAAGATTAACTCCGGCCACAAAAATAAGAAACAAACAACATAATGTTTAAAACAGAAAAAATCTCATAAAATATCAATTTCCTCTTATTCAAGTGCACCCGTATATCAGCAACGCTCCTTTCGCTTTATTTTTCAACTCTCCGGCTGTTGTTTGTTTTATGGGTTCGTGTGGCTGGCCAATTATAATAATTTTATACCCCCATAAAACGTCGTTAAAATGCATAATTCTAGATGCTGACATCCACGTCCAGCGGCTTAAATTCGTTCGCATTATAATCGCATTTGGATTAGCGAAAATAGGTATCGTGATGTTGGCGCAGCTTGCTGCAATTTATCACTAGTTTTATTTGACATTTAAATATGAATTACCAGTACGAGTTGGTTGTGATATTCAAGAAACGAAAATCGAAATATGTTTTCTCTTAATACCATTAGATTTTTCCTACAAAACTATAATGCATATTCATTTATTCACATTAATATCCCGTATCTACATTCTTAAATTTTTTTTTAGACGCCTGGCCATTCATTTTTTAAATGATGTAAGAAATTATAATTGGGCGCTACTGTTCAATTCAGAATAATCGGTAATTTACACAGTTCCAAGAACTGTTATAGATCTGTCACATCATCAAAAACAGTAAAGTTTAATTAATTTGTCTCGTATCAGTACGGTATATAAAATATAAAATTAAAATTTACACAGATCGGGAAAAAATATACATGGGATTTTGAGGTCTTTGACCTCAAGATGGTGATATCTAATTATGTAATAGCCCCGTAATAGTTAAAATATCGAGTTACATACAAGTGTAACTGCTTGCGGACCACAGACGGACATATTCGCTTCGTCTATTTTGTTTAACTGTACCTAAAAATTAATTACAATTATTTCTAAGGACACATTCGCACATTCCAATAATAAATAGTGATTTATTTAGAATGCACAATACAGGGATGGCCAGAAGTGTGGAATAAAATTCATATTTTTTGAATGAGTTAATTTTTTTTTAAACGCCGAAACACGTTAACTGATTTTGATTCTGATCTTTCGGTTATATAATAATTAACTTTTCTTCAACCCCCTAACCCTCAGCTAGGTACCCCTACTTTTTTTTCAAATGGAAACATAAGGCCATACCAAATAAACAAGTTTTATTTTTTCAATAGCAAGGTTTTTAGGGTTGTATAAAACACCTACTTAACAAGTGAAATAAAATTTAATTATCTTCAGTGTTATTTTCCGTCAATTTGCACAGAATAAAATAAAGAATTTGAAACTGTACCTATCACTGCTAACGCAACTATATATTTGTTATGTTTCGTTTTTTTTTTGGTACCACTTACTTGCCAGGCTTTCTGGTTAATTTTTCGCTTTAGTTGTAAATTGGAGTTTAAAACGATACTATTGTGGCAAAACCAAGTTATTTACTGAATTGCAATGGTATTGTCGGAAAGGCAACGCATCGAAATCTTGATATTGCTTGGATGTGGAGACAAAATAAGAAGTCAGGCTGAAGTGCGCGATTTATTTAATGCAAAATATCCCGAAAACCAAATCTCGCAAGGGACAGTTAGTAAAATATTTCACAAATTTGAGGAACACGGTACAGTACAGACTTTGACCAAAACTGGAAGGGCACGTGCTTTGAATGAAGAAAAAAAAATAGACATTGCATTAGAACTTGTTGAAAATCCTCATACTTCAACTGTTTCATTGGCCCGCAATCACGATGCTTCTCGAACTGCAATTCGAATGTTTCTGAAACAAGAGAAATACCACCCCTATAAGGTATGTCTTGTCCAAGAGCTTTTGGAAGACGATTATGACAGGCGATTACAATTTTGTGAAGAAATGATGAGACGGTGTGACGACAATAATGGTTTTCAACGAGACGTACTTTTTTCGGATGAAGCTACGTTTTATTTTAATGGAGTGGTTAACAGGCACAACTATCGCTTTTGGTCCCAGGAAAATCCACACTGGACATGCGAATCGCATACGCAGCATCCACAGAAAGTTAATGTATGGGCAGGTATCATCAACAACAGAATCTTGGGCATTCTTTTTTGAAGAAAATCTTACTGCTGCACGCTACCTGGATTTCCTAATATTTGACCTGATACCTGCTCTAGCTGTGATTTTCCCTCATGAAATTGATTCAGATATACCGAATGAAAGAATTTGGTTCCAACAAGATGGCGCTCCCTCACATTTTGGTATTGATGTTCGAAGATACTTAGATGAAATGTTTCCAAATCGCTGGATTGGTAGACGGGGTACAGTTGAATGGCCGCCAAGATCTCCCGACTTAACACCCCTGGATTATTTTCTTTGGGGATATTTGAAAGAAAGAGTCTACCAGGACAGACCGGATAATATTGAGAATTTAAAGAACAAGATTAGGGCGGAGATGCATAATTTACCAGCTGAAGTCATTCAGAATACTGTGGACAGCTTTTACTATCGTCTTGGAGAATGCCAAACAGTGAATGGAGGACATTTTCAGCATTTGCGACATTGAGTTTATTTTTGTAAATTATCTAGTTGTTTCCATTTCTAAATGAAAAAAAAACTTGCTATTGGAAAAATAAAACTTGTTTATTTGGTATGGCTGGATTCGGTTTTCTATAAACTTTTCAACGAGCCCCCTCATGCCTTATGTTTCCATTTGAAAAAAAAAGTTGGGGTAGCTGGGGGTTAGGGGGTTGAAGAAATATTAATTATTATATAACCGAAAGATGGGAAAAAATCAAAATCAGTTAACGTGTTTCGGCGTTTAAAAAAAAATTAACTCATTGAAAAGATATGAACTTTATTCCGTACTTTTGGCCATCCCTGTATATACAGAGTATCCCAGTTCTAACCTGCAAATTGATATTGGTGATTTTAGTTCAAATTCTGTTTTGAAAATTGTTTTTCCGGGATATTTCGGACACGACGATTGATATCAAATCTTCTAATAATTTATGATTCTTCAAAGGTGCCTACAAATCTATATGTATAAGAATTACCAGTTTGTCTTACAAGAAAACCACACTGACTTCAAAAAAGTTATGAGACAATTCATTCTGTATTTTGTATTTGCATATACGTATTTAATATCAAGCATTTTGATCTTTTAAATAGTTAAATGCATTTAGAAGTTCAAAAGCATTGTGAAAAACTGATACCTCTATCACAGCTTAAGCTGTGTCTCTATATTTGAGGCACAGTATCTAGTTGTTTTTACATCCTTAGTTCATTGTTGGCTGAAATAAAGTAAAAACAAATTTCGGAAACCGTATTTTATTGTTGCCAAAGTGAGGCAACATTTCTGCAATCCCTGCAGCTTCCTAGATAAGATACAGTCTATTTGAATCAGCTGTTCATTGAAGAATTATTACAGCATTTTCGTGTTAACCTTATCCAGCAAATTTCCATGCTAATTAATCCAGTAATCAATGAAAAATACAGCAGATTATTCTTGTGCAACATATCGGTACATTCATCACAATTTTATCACTCGCATTGCGTCAGAAACCATTATTATTCTTCTTCTAGATTAACATTTAATGATATAAAAACTGAATGAAGGCAGTTGTATTTTTTTATTGCGTATTATAATGAGAAAGGGGGGTGAGAGCTCAATAATTCAATACATCCAATTATCGATAGTGATTGATTAAATGACGCAGAAAAAAACATGACACGTGTTTGTTAATAAGAATTGTTTATTGCTTATTTTAATGTAGGAATGTAAACAAGAAATACCACAGATCATTTTGGAATTTTTTAAATCTAATAGATTAGAGATGAACAATTTTATACATTTACTGTCATTTAGAGACCCACAAAAATAATAGAATATAGGTAGGTAATTATTGTATAATATTAATTAGAAACTTTAATATAACATAAAAACTATTTTTAGGTATACGTATAATACCAGTTCCCTATAATATGAAAGTTACCAATTTACCTATAGTATAAATATTTAAGTAGGTAGCTAATTAAAATTATATTTAGTTATTCTAAATTTTCTACCTTGAATTCTTTTTAAATTCAATAATTCGCTCATTAAACCGCCCTCATTTGTCGTTACCTAGAAACAGTACAATTTATCAAATATGATTTTATAGAAACCTATTGAGCATTTTAATTTAGTACAGTGTTTGAGCTACATACACATAGATGGCAGCAACTAAATCTACAGTTTCTTTAATTATAATATTATTTTTCTTTTAAAAGTATTACTATAATTATGTCAAATTAAATTTTATAAATATATAAGAAGGCCAATATTAAGAATGAGCCAAAAATATAATAAAAAGTACTATATTGCATTTCGTAAATAGCGTCATCTACCATACAACTTTGTAAACATAAATTTGAATCATTTAATTTAATTTGCAATTCATAAAGATCCAAGAAAAACTTTTGTTAAAATTGCAGTTTTTATGTTACAAAGAAAGTAGAGGGTGATACGAAAAAAAATAACTGCGGTTTGTTGGTTTCACGAATAAATTAAATCATTGTGGTCATTTAATTTATTTTAATTGGTTTGGAGCCATCTACAATTGAAGTACTTAAGTTCTGTAACCTTCATTTGACCTTGCAGGGGTTAAATAAGTCACGTAACAACACCCAAGATTTGACATTTTGTCGAGTGCCGGTTGCGAACCAGTATCTAATAGAATTTTTTGATCACACAGTATTGATAAGTAGTAAGTACTAAATATCTGTTTTAATTGTTACCTTTAAGAGTACAGTAATGTATCTAATTTTGTTGTTATATAATCTTTTCTTTTGCTCTTAATACTAAAAATAATTTTTTATGCCATGCAGTATTTTGGCCTCCCGGAAATTTAATTAAATTCGGTCATTTTAATATAGATGCCTGTGTAGAAATTAGTTCTATCAGTGTTTTGTTTTAAGCATTCAAAATACCAATCAGGCAGTTCTTATGACATGCCAAATGTGACAGGAATAAGTGCTTTGCTGAGAGCACCTTCAATAAATTTTATATATCTTTTATTTTATAACTCCGCAAATTGTTAAAATAATTCAAAATGCCATCACTGACAATCTTTCGATTTTTGAACACAGTTTGTAAGATGCCTATCAAGAGCGTATTTGCCCGAAACATTTTCGACTCTCGTGGCAATCCTACAGTAGAAGTAGATCTCGTTACTGATTTGGGACTTTTCCGTGCTGCTGTGCCATCAGGAGCTAGCACCGGTAAGTTTGTAAAAAAATTAGATGTAGAACATAAGTATATTTTATTTAGAAATATTTTAAACTTAACACAATTTTGCACCATTTAAAGTAAATAATTGAGTAAATTATAATGATAAATTTACAGTACATAATTGGATTTAAATCTGAATTACTTTTGTAGGGAGATTCAGAAAAGTATTTTATTAATCTTCTGAATTATTTGTATATGGCACACATTTTTTCATTGAAATTTGTCATTATGTTGAAATAAGGAAACAAATTTTTATGCTGGAAAAATACTTCTTTTTGCAGTATATCTTTTTTTTAGAAATAATTTTTCACAACCAATTCATTCCACAGGTTAACTGTGAAATATATTTTCTATTTGATCTTAGGGCCTATTTATTTAAAAACATGTTTATTATTGAGTTACAAAGTGTTTTTTTAAGCAATACAATTACGATATTAAGGTTATCAATATTGCATGTAACTATATTGTTATTGTACTTTTACTTAATTTACTCTGTCTTACAGAAACATAATTTATATTCAGATTTATTTTTTTCTATCATAATTTAATCTTTACTTTATCAATGGAATGTTATAAAAAGTGACAAAAGTTTATCAGAATTTGTATAGAAAAACATTATTCTTTTAATTTTTTATATCATAAATACTCAAAATATGAAAGGAATATGGTAGAATAAAAATATGTTTGCTTTTGTACAATTTCCTAGGTATTTATGAGGCTTTGGAGCTCCGCGACAATGTGAAATCCGAATACCATGGCAAAGGTGTCCAGAAAGCCATCGACAACATCAATAAGTGCATCGCCCCGGAGCTCGTCAAGTCTGGCCTTGAGGTCACTCAACAGACCGAGATTGATGAGTTCATGATCAAGCTGGATGGTACAGAAAACAAATCCAAATTGGGCGCTAACGCTATTTTAGGTGTGTCACTTGCTGTGGCGAAAGCTGGCGCTGCCAAGAAGGGTCTTCCCCTTTACAAACATTTGGCAGAACTGGCTGGAAATAATGACATCATTCTCCCAGTACCAGCCTTCAATGTTATCAATGGCGGATCTCATGCTGGCAACAAACTCGCCATGCAGGTATGTTAGATGAAGTAGTCTGATTCTACTAACGCTTCGTGTCTTGGTGAAAAAATAGTATCCGTATCCGTTTTATACAGATTAATATTAAAGTATAAAAGTTATAAAATTCCGTGAAAACAAAATTATTCGTTATTTATAGTTGTTCGTTATTCAAGGGCTTCCATAAATAGAGGTTTCACTGTATTATATGTGACAAATTTTTCGGTATTCGGGCAACAAATAAAAAATCCAGTTCTATATCGACGTTTCAATTTACTTTAAAATCCTCAGGACGTGTATGATTTTAGGTGCAGGAAAAAAGGAAAATTTTTTATTTTCTCTTTCTAGGAATTCATGATCCTTCCAACTGGCGCATGCTCGTTCACCGAAGCTATGAAAATGGGCAGTGAAATCTACCATCACCTGAAGAAGGTCATCAAGGACAAGTTTGGTCTTGATGCCACTGCCGTGGGTGATGAAGGTGGTTTTGCACCTAACATCCTCAACAACAAGGAAGGCCTAGAGCTTATCAAGGTCGCTATTAATAACGCTGGTTACACAGGCAAAGTCGAAATCGGAATGGACGTTGCTGCTTCCGAATTCTTCAAGGAAGGTAAGTTGCGTCAAATTTGTATTTTTTTTACGGTAATTTTTTACTAAAATTCTTTTTTGTTTATATGTTACCACCAATAAAGAACATATCATACGGGAATATTTTTATTACTTACTTGATTCTTGAAAAATTCAATTTCAAAAATTTTTTATTTTTGAAAAATTATTGCAATTATTTACAGCTTTTTATTTTTACAATCAGGCATTGATACGAGTTACTACGTTACTTTATTGGGATTTCTGAACCTTCACTTGCAAATTCGATCTCAGTGAATCCTATGCTATCGGAGAATGTGAATATTTAAATCCAGAGGTTGAAGAAACAACTATACTATTGACGCGTGCAATTATCAATATTTGCCAAACGACATTTAAAAAAAAATATCCAGACTGACATTATTTCCCAAAATTTTGAAAATAAACTTCCATATAATTATGTATTTATTTTTACTAATCGTATTTCTTAAATGAGCTTTTTATATAAATATTACGGTAATTAAAAAAAAAAAAATAGATTCAGGGAGGTGAGAAGAGATGCCTACTCTTAATATTAATATTTAGATGTTCCACATCGCGATTTTCTATTTTCCACATAAGTAACGTGGGAAAAATAATTTTTCAATTTCAGAATTTTATATCTTAAAAACCAACCATGTATTCTTGTAGGGAATTGAACGTTCTACAAAAAATGTCCCTTATAATTTTTTGATAAACCCACTTTACAAAAGTTATTCAAATTCAAAGTTAAATTTATGTTATAATTACACTTTTTTCTCTAGTTTGAGGTAAAATTACACTTTTTTCTCTAGTTTCAGGTAAAATAATTAATTTTTGAAATATTATAAAAAAGGCATTTAAAAGTCAAAATTGATAAGTTTATCAAGTCTTTCAAATTGATATGACTGAAAAACCCACCATTTCTGGGAAGAATCAATGAAAATCCATTTTATTGTATTAAATAGTATCTGAAATTTTTTAAAATTATTTCTTTACTAATGATAAATGACTTTTCGGTTGTGATACTGGAAAATTTTAAACTATCACAACCGAAAAGTCATTTATCATTAGTAAAGAAATAATTTACAAAAATTTCGAATACTATTTAATACAATAAAAAGGATTTTAACTGATTCTTCTCAAAAATGGTGGATTTTTCAGTCATATTAATTTAAATGAATTGATAAACTTATAAATTTTGACTTTTAAATGGCTTTTTTTATAATATTTCATGACAGCTTTAATCATTTTACCTGAAACTAGAGAAAAAAGTTTTATTATAACATAAATTTAACTTTGAATTTGTATAACTTTTGTACGAGTAGATTTATAAAAAAATGATATGGGACATTTTTTGTAGAAAGTTCAATTCCCTACAAGAATATATTTCGGTGATTTAAATCCGTCTGTTGGTTTTAAAGATATAAAATTCTGAAATTGAAAAATTATTTTTCCCATGTTATTTAAATGCAAAATTGAAAATAGTGATGCGTGACCTCTAAATATTAATATTAAGAGTTCCCATTTTTACAGGCATATCTTCTCACCTCCCTGAATCTATTTCAGAGGGGATTTTGAAAAAAAAATAGTCAATTTTTTTTTAATCAGCCTAATAAATATTGTTTTAAATGCTGTCCATACAGAAAACTAAAATGTCCTTAATTTATTACATAGGGTGAATTGTCTAGTTTAAAAAATTTGTCCCAAAATCCACTTTATTTTGATTGCTCACTTTATTAAATCAGTGATTATGTAAGGCAGATTTCACAGTGAAACTAAAACGCCTAGTTTAATGATAGACTCTTTAGAAAAGTTATAAATATGTGTCTGGAAACACTTCATTTTCAAGGTGTTCAAAATTAATGAAAATATGTGGTTTATTTCAATATACAAAACACGTTTCAAGAAGGCCATGTGCATAATATTTTTTTCTACTCATACAGTATGACCCCTTTTTAAAGGAGGTATTTATCATGAGATTTAGTTGGACTTAAGCCTACATATATATTTTTTTCATTATCAAATTTGACAAAAATTGACTATTATTTTTTCACTTTAATCTTTAATAGTGGAGATCCTACATCTTTTCGTTTCGTGAAAAAGTATAAATTGTTAATTGTAAAATTAATACATTTTTCCGTTCTTCCCATAAGGAGTGAGCAATTTATACTATAAATAAATCAAATAAACACTTAAAATGTGCACTAATTTGCTTTTTTTAATCTTCAGTGTTTTCGAATTTGAATCAATGTACCATTTAATTATAATTATGAATAACAAAAAATTACGAATAATGACATGGCCATGAAAATATATGCAACCTCGATCTAAATGTTTAGAGGATAGTTTTCCTGCAATCTTCCGTTACTCTCCCCCAGTGGCGGCTCGTGACATTGAGAATAGGTGAAGCATATTCATTGATGGACTAAAAACAAGCGAAAAAGCGCCGGCGAAAATTTTCAAATTTTCAAGGTCAAATGGCTTTAAATAAATCTGAAAATTTTTAGTTGCATTTGCGATATTACCAAAAAACTGACGTTCGTGAGAATGATTTTCATTTAGATTTTATAAAAAATAGAAATATTAGTTCGGCTTGTGGACTTCTGCGAACATTAACGCACACCGTACCGTACATGTATGTTTCAAAGAAGCTTTGTGGTTGTGACAGCCTCGCGTGACGTTCCCAAAATTGTTAAATGCCTCCTTATTCGATACGTCCATTCCATTTTGATTTAACTTGAAAAAAAAATACATGTTATAAAAAATGCTTGTTGTGAACCGCAGTGCAACGATAGTGTAAGCACTGAGTTCGCCTCGTCTATACGGGCCTTTGACTCGTTCCCGGAAAACCGCTTCCAGAACGAGTGCTGCGAGTGGCGAGGCGAGGAACGAGACGAATGACGACGGGACCATCTACACATTCGCCGCACAACTCGCCTTGCGGTTTGACTCTCCGCTCGTGCGAATGTGTAAATGCAACTTTAACCCTTTCACTGCTCCAGACGTATATATTCGCTAAAAATTTATAGGGCTCAAACTGCTCCAGACGGATAAATTCGCATGAATAGTTAAATTGGATCAGGCTGCTCAAACCGTATATATTCGCAACCGTGCGCATAGTGACTCGGTTATTGCAATTGGTAAGGCGAATTTTTGCGGGCGAGCTTATACCGATTGTGACAAATATTTTTATGGAAAGAGGTACTGGTAATAGTACCAAGATTGTTCATGTTTCTTTCAGTTTCTATTTAGTACATATACTGTATTTTATTCAAAATAAAATCGTAAAATTTATCGTAAATCGTAATTTAACACAACATAATGTAAAACTATAAGTGGTCTAACTGCTCCAGACGTATATATTCGCACGCGATAAACAATCGCGCACGGCGCGGTAGCTACGTTCAGACGTATTGCGCAGCGAAAGGGTTAA